CAGAAATTTTTTGGCTTCAGTTCCGTCGAACCCAAATGTACGAAACAGATATATCATCAGTTTTAATTGACTTTGGCACAGACGGCATGCACGTTATTTACCCTAAAGCCATACAGTTTCCAGCAAAATTCAATTATGGTACGGCTGAAAAAAGGATGTTGCCCTTAGTTTTGTCATGGGCATTCAGCGTCCATAAAATGCAGGGCAGCACCGTCGACCATGCAGTAGTATATTTGGGCTCAAAATGGTTTGAGGAAGGACAAGCATACGTGGCTCTAAGTAGAGTCAAGTCTCTGGAAGGGCTATGTATTGAGGAATTAGATTGTACTAAATTATCAGGTAAGAAACCATGTAATAATGATGCACTGAATGAATTAAATAGAATGAGGAATATTCGGTAAACAATTTCACTAAATACTAAAAACAAGAAAATAAAAATCGGTAAAAAAACTTTTAAGTTAAACGGTTTTATTTTATGTGCACTGAAAACTACAAAATAAATAAATAGTTACTTACCTATCAACCTACGTAGGTGATCTCGGTCATTAATATCTCTGATGGTAGTGGTTGTCATAACATGAACCATGTCAGCGGCCGAAAGGCAGTTCATGAGAGAACACTAACACCAGGGTTTGCTTGGTAGGTAAACTAAGCAGCCCACACTATAACAAGTAGGTATTTTGACCTTCTAGTTCAGAAATATTTTAGTACTAGGCAGAATAGCTTTTAGGCATATTAGACTAAAATAAAAACGTGGGGCCCCTCTGAAATCATACCTATAGCAGAGCATATCTTATACTTTGGTAGATCATGAGCTCGGCGTTCGCTGGTGAAGCCGTAATGGCTGGTTATTGATGGTCAAAACCTCCAATTACGATTATAGTAAGTCGATTCAGCGGACCCTGGACTCCGGAGCTATGAGGTTTCGGATGCGACCGGGATAAACCGCTAGGATGATGATGATGACGATTATAATAAGTCGATGCAATCCACACTTAGTATAGTAGAAAGTAATACAGAAATAGTTAATGGGCCCCACGTTTTTATTTTAGTCTAATATGCCTAAAAGCTATTCTGCCTAGTACTAAAATATTTCTGAACTAGAAGGTCAAAATACCTACTTGTTATAGTGTGGGCTGCTTAGTTTACCTACCAAGCAAACCCTGGTGTTAGTGATCTCTCATGAACTGCCTTTCGGCCGCTGACATGGTTCATGTTATGACAACCACTACCATCAGAGATATTAATGACCGAGATCACCTACGTAGGTTGATAGGTAAGTAACTATTTATTTATTTTGTAGTTTTCAGTGCACATAAAATAAAACCGTTTAACTTAAAAGTTTTTTTACCGATTTTTATTAATAGATAGAATGATTCAGGAGGAAGGTTTATATGTATAAAACATGCATAATATTGTAGTATATCTTAAGGGTAACCCGCAATATCCATTTTTTATCCCCTACATTTTACGGGAAAATGGCTTATTTACGAAGTGATTTTAAGCAATACAGCATTAATTTTTATCCAATTAAGTACCTTAAATACATTGTCCTTTTAATATAGATCAATATGGCCCTTTACAGCATGTAATTTAAATGAATATTTCTAAACATATTATAGATTTAAAATGCAGGGACATAGCGGTGTGGCATTGCACCCGTGCGAAGCCGGGGCGGGTCGCCAGTATTTAATAACTAATTGTTCTGCCCACATATCGTGTTACAAATTACAAGTGGGATTAAATAATACCGTGGGCTTACTTGTAAGAATGAAGCCGAAATTGTTAATTGATCTTGAATAAAACGTCGAGTCCACAATCGGTTCTTTTATGACTTTATGAACTTTAAAAGTTTACAATACATTTCTTAATTAATTATAATAAAGAGTTATTATTTATTACGCTAACTTTTAATTTAGTTTAATAAATCACTTAAATGTATAGAACAGGTTTGAAATTCTAAATTAAAATTTTATTACTGCAAATATGTTTCGTTTTGTCTCTAATTAAGTTATTTAATTCAATGTCAAATATTGAATTCTTTGTGTCTATATGTTTAATAAACTTGGCGCTACATGTCACATACTATATCTCTTCATTGCAGCTTGTAAGGAACAATCCCCAGATAATACTCACATTTGTCTAGTCTAGTGCATATAATTCAAGCCATTTTTAGTTTTTTTTTTATAATTTCTTACTTACTTTTTACTTGAAATGGCAAACATGCTGACGGTTTACAAAGCGAGTGTGTTCCTTACCTCTTAATACCTTAATAACTCAACTAATTGTTATAAAATTTGATATACCAGTACCATTTGGAATGAAGAAGGACAGCTATTTTTAACCGACTTCAAAAAAGACGAGGTTCTCAATCCGATTTTTTATTGTTTATTAATGCATCATGAGATTATAAAGATGTTAATGCATTAATTAATTCTACTCTACGTGAACCCTGCTAGGATGTTGTAAATTATATATATAATCATTAATCGTACATTGATATAATAAATTATATAATAAAATATTTTTTAAATATTTTCATACTTATAAACCGATTTGAATTTTTTTTTTGAAGGAACGTATTTGCAAATTAGTCTAATAGAAATTTTATCAGAATCGGTTAAGTAGTTCAGTTTCTGAATCAAAATAACTGGTTTTGTTACATTTAAAGCCTTTTTTTGTGCAACAAAATCTTAAATCCGATTATTCAATATAATTATTTTCCTTAATGTTTTATTCTGTTAATTTTCTTAATTATACAATACCTACTTGTACAACAATTAGTCCATTACTCTAAGGTTGTCTTGAAAAGATTGCTCTCAGCAATAAGACCGCCTTACTGTACTTACATATACAATTGTATCGTTGTGTTTGTAAATTGCCTTGCTTACTTCCTATATTGTATAATGCAAATAAAGTATACTCATTCATTCATTCAACAACTCTGTGTCAAGTAGACGAAGTCACGAGAAGAAACTTTTCTTTTTCTCCATACATGTGATTCAAATTAAAAATTGTTACAGAATATAATAACTTATGTTGACACAACGTAGTTAGGGTGGTAATAGGAGGCGACCACCCCCTCGCTCCCTGGTGTGATAATTTGCTTTGTTTTAGAAGTCATATTTAATTCTGCGAAGTCACTAGAGGCGGCTTTATGTAACTTGACAACACAGACATTTAGAGTCTATGTTTAGTTATTCGTGCTCGCATCGTTAGGCTATTAGGAAAAAAAAAACATTTTAAAATTGCTGCTCGTAATTGTTATCGTCATATATATTTTTTTTATACGACTTAGAACGGCAAAGAAGCTGACGATCCACCTGATGAAAAGTGGTAACCGTCGCCTATAGACATGAGCAGTGCTATGGACATAACAGAGTATACTGTTTCGCCCATGATACCCCCCATGCGTTGTCATTCCTGAGGACTCAGGTGTTATTCCTCTGTACCCAGTAAATTCACGCCATATCCCACCCTTCAAACTGAAACACAGCCATGCAAACACAGCTGCTTCACGGGACAGAGGTACCCAAGCAAACGACTTTTGTACAAAGTCTCCCTCTGGTAAATATTTCTTTTCTTTTATTTTTTGTAATGGCATATACTTTTTTTTCTCATATTATTCATGAGCTCTCGTTTATTTGATTTGGTAGTTTATTGTGGAAACTTCACTGATATACCTATATTATGGCTGTATTTATTATTTATATATTATTTGTTGTAAATAGCAGGATACAGCAATAAAACATATATGTATTTAAGATATAAAATAATAAGTTTAGTGAAAAAAATACGAGACATGTCTTATAAAAATCTGACACAGAACAAATTTAAAAATAATATATTGTTCTAAAAAACCTCAGTATCAACAGCCAGTATTAAAACTTCAACATTATTTAGGTATTGTACGTTTCCCTATTAAAGTGAAATTAAATACAAATTAGAAAATGATGAATACACTAATTTATTAAACAGATTTTGTTCTAAAAACAAAACAGGCTTCATTTATAACAAGAGCAAATATTTTGAATTGAAAACTAAAATATTGAAGCGATTTTGATAATTTAAATTATCTAAATATACATAAAAAAAAGAAATATATAAAACCATTCGGATATAAAAATAATTTTCCAAATTAATTTATAAATGACTCCTCCATTGAAAATGTTTGTTGTTTTTTCGTTTCATTACAAGTACATTTTCAACCGACTACGAAGAGAATAGGTTTCAATTGGTCCCAAAAAATTCACAAGCACGCGCGTACTTTATTTGCAGTCTAATGGCATGTCTATGCATATATACATTTTCATAGTATGCAACGTAACAGAGCGTAGGGAAAAGAGAAGCTCACTTTAGGATTACGACTCATTTTGTATAAACTGCCAAGTGTAATAGACTTTTCTGAATGAGGGCATAATATATTGGGAGTAGAGTATTCACATTGGCAGGATTACTAAAAATACTTAATACTATTATAATTGTTTATAATTCTTTGGGCTTATAGTTAACCCGCGAAAATCCCAAGCTTTCATTTCAGATGGTCATCGTAATTATGAAATGCTTGATCATGATGCTTTGCCTCATGTTTATTATGAAAATGAGTCAATTGCATATGCCAAGAAAGCAAAAAACCTGGGTGTTGTAATTAATTGCATTTTATCCTGGAATGAACACATTAATAGGGTGAGCAAAAGGCTTTGTTTCTCGTTTCATACTTTTAAACGATTACAAAAATTTTTATATATCAAGACAAGGCTCACTTTGCCTCAAGCCCAACATTTGATTACCTCTGTCATATTATTACAACTGATGTGTACAATAAAGAATTAAATAAATAAATAAATAATTTATGTACAGTGAGTTTTCAATTTCCCTGAGCACGCACACTATCATAGTGCTTATGTATGTTAATCATAAGTCAAAATATGTTCACAAATTGTTTGTAATTGTATATTCGTAAAAAAATAAATATCCATGGAGAATGATTCTAAACTTACAGCCTCAGTGTGCACTGGGTGTACAGCGAACAGCAGCGCAGCCAATGCTGCAAACGGGCGCTGCAGCCGCGCGACCACGGCGCCTGTCCGCGCGACTAGCGCGCAGCAAGCTGCGTGCAGCGCTACATTGCACGCGTGCCACCACCACGGTGAGAAACCGCATAGAGCGTGGTTTAATCTGAAACAAATAAATATATAAATAAATAGATAATACATGTAGCACTAATACTGGCAGGTTACCAGTGAAGTATGTGAACGAAATCATATCAATTGACTCATCGTAACAAATTAACCAAAAATTGATCACGGTGGTTTTCAAGAGGCGATTGCACGGTGGTTGAACTCACAGTGTATATGAATAGCAGTGAGGCTACTAGGTTCTATTACTAACAATCCCTCCTTCCATTCTCATCACAGTAAACTATACCGAATGAGCGATCATCACTTTGACTCAAAGTGTGTTCCTTTCTCCCTTCCTTTCCCGTGGGTGTCGTAAGAGCTGACTTCTTCTTTTCATTTAAAAGTTTCCTCTTGTCAGTGCAACTAATTCATCCCATTAGTTGCTACTTATGGGATTATAGTGCAGTGGTTTCCCATCTTGCTTTCTGCACCGCAGTTCAAAGACCGATATTTCGCCCTCTGATCGCTGACTAGAAGCCCTTCTAGAAGTCTCTTCTTCGGCCTGAGCTGTCGTAAGAGCTGACTAAGGGAACTTAATGGTTGAGGGATAAACTGCAGCGTACCCCTGAAAACACCATTAAAGAATAACTGCAGTTGCTATCCTATCTTCCAAGCGTGGCAATTACTGGCAAAACTCCCCTCATAGTAAAGTTATGATCAGCAATGATAGGATGATGAATTTATCAACATGACTCACAGCAGAGAAAACCGTATTTATTGTAAAAACAATTTAACTAAATCAACATAACATTGCCAGAGATATCGCGTATCGTCTATCTATAAATCGACATTGTATTATAAATTATTGATAAAATACCTACTTAGCAAGAGCAAGGCCATATACTTCGCTCCATATAACAGTACCCAAAGGATTTACGTACTTATCCTTACAATACAATAAACGTATGAGGAAACGCGCAGTAGTCTCAAATAGTCCCGTATTGTCTGCGAAACGAGGGACGAGATCAAACGAGATGGAATTTACATGACAAGCGATTAACCGACGTCAAATAGTACTATAATCGGTGATATGTTTCATATATCGTCTACAAGTTTACTATACATTATTATACATATAAATGTATGGCAGAATTTAAAGATAACTTGTAACTATTAATTGCAATGAATGAAGGATTTTTCTTTTAAATGATGATAATGGAACGGTAACCTCATTTGCACTTACAGTATACACTGATGGAGCACCAGTGAGGGGTGATAGGTGAGAATTAAAAGGCAGGTCAGTTAGCCCATCGTGATGAATACACCAGGAATTCTGCACGAATGTTTCCAGGGGCGACCACGTGGAAGTCGACTTTATGGGGCATTATGCCAGCAATGAAACTGATAGTCCGCATTACTAACAATCCCTTTTCCCCTGAATAAAGGTTTAAGCCTGAACACCTTTTTTGACATGATATCGAAAGCCCAATATAGTTAGTTTTAATAAATTACCAAAGAAATAACCAAAAGAAACTTTATATAAAAACATCTACATAGATAAAGTGTCAGGGACTATACATTTTATTATTTATGATGATATATGTATATATAGCTTCTGAATCTGTATCACCTAACAATTCTACAGTCCAGTTACGCTTGCATAACTTTTGGTTTGAAACAGTTTAGAAAGTGGATCATTAAAGAATCTAGTTAGCCAACCAAAAACAGAACATTAATAAAGTCAAAACATTGATAAAGTAATTTAACTACACTTTCTTGTAGTAAATCTAATAGAAGAGCCTATTTTTCTCTTCTATTTAATTTACATAATACCGCCATTTCCACTTTATAATCTTCTTTCGAAAGCACCGAACGTCCAATCGATTTCTGGCAGCACGTTTGGCGTAGTGCCGGTCCCAGCATGCGGGCCAGGCTCAACAAGATAAATGTATGATGGCTCAATAATAGCCGACGCAACGTGCAGCAATGTCGTAAACTTGGCTGTGCCCCGCTGATATTGCAATGAAATTGCTATGCTACTGCAGCTCGTAGTTGCCTACTGCGAAATAACTATACAGATGCATAACTAAGGTGGCCCACCCGCCAATTGCTAAAACCTATGGGGATTGGAAATATGAAGTATTGAGCGTTACCGATCCTCGTTAATAATTATTTTTATAATATAGGAAAGCAAAGGAGTATACGGTTAACTTGATGGTTAGTAACTACCGCCGCTCATGATCACCCACAACACCAAAGCAGCAGGTATGTTACCGGTCTTTTAAAAAGGAATATTGTTAAATCCCTGGAAGTTAAAATTTTATCATTATGTTAACAATTATCCAAAAATTTTACAGTCTTTCATGATAGTGAGATCAAAAATGCTACAAAAGTTATTCTTACTATTTCAAGCCAGGAGATCCTTGGTCAAGAATACAAAGGTATATCTCCGGGATATCAAGACGTGGAACATTCCAAAGGAAGCCTTTGTATCATCCGAACACAGTGCGCCCGCGGCGTTCCGCGTTTCCTTCCAAGTAAGCTAGATGTTTTCTAAAGCAAAAGACTGACACTAAAATGTTGCAGAAGACGAGATAAATAACCTGTCCGCAGATGTACTGTAGAAGACAGTTCTTTGTAGTTAAAGGAATGTAAATTTAGAATCCTTCATCCATCATTGTTACTATGTAGATGGTAAAGTTAAAAAAATACTTGGAGAAGCAATAAAATATGTTTCTCATGATGAATTATATTGATTTCTTGATTACAAACTTTCATAATATATATATGCTAATACATTGTCATTCGTAATATACGATATACATATTATGGACTTAGACAAGATATTAATTATTTTTAATACTCTTTCTAAACAACTTGTTGGCAGTTTTTTAACAGTTCGTGTTCACATCCATGAGATCTAAATTTAAATAGAAAATACAGTATTAAATGTTGTTCCAGTTGCTATCATTACTTTACAAAATTATGTATGTTACTACGTTGATTTATCAGTGTATATTACTATAAATACAGTTATAATCCCACATCTGTCTTAATAATCCGACGCGTGTCGGCCGACACCCGTGCCTGACATTCGACTGACGCGTGTGCTCCGCAACCCTGGCAGCTTGTCGACGGTGACGCGCAATGTAATCTTTATTTGTCACTCAATCATACTAATGAAAGTTGTTTTCAAACATTTTTAACCGCTACTGAAGAAAGATTTGAAGGGATGGCAGTAAAATACTAATTTACACGTATATCCTTTTAGATAAAAAAAAATCCAATTCAGTTTACAAATGACGGAGTTATGAAGTAACAGACAAAAAAAAACAACCGAAATAAGAACTAAAAAAGTCAAAATTAAAAATTAATAAAGTTGATATTATACGTTAATGTAAAACGCACACAAACACAGGGTATAGAGGTGTAATATCTTTGGCTTCAAGAACAGCATTGCAAGAGGACAGTGTATGTTTTACAGTATATTCCATAATATCCATGGTACTGTTCATGTCTATAGGCGATAGTAACCATTTTCTTTTAGATGAGTTATCAGCTTGTGTGTTATTTTCAGTAAATTATGTGAAAAACGCCATATGTACCTCGGCATAGAATGGGCCACCCCTTTCTTACCCGTGGGTGTAGTAAGAGGCCACTAAGGGAAGCCGAGAGATGGGCAGCAGTGTTCCTCTTAACACATTTCTAAAAGTTAACTGCGGTTGCCAACTCGCTTGCCAAGCGTGGCAGCTACTGGCAAAACTCTCCTTATGAGGAAGGCTTGTGTCCAATAGTTAACGGTTGAAATAATGACAAAAAATATGTAAAAAAAAAAGCACGATAATATTTTTTGAAATTTTTCAGTTTTGTGGTAATATTTAAAAGAAAACTTCCCCTGACGCCTCTTTGAAATACAAATAACGAGGTTTCCCTTTAAATTACAAGAAATTTATGACAACGTCACCGAAACATAACAATGTTACGGAACCCAACAAAATAATACATTGTCCTCCCCGTCTCCGTAATATATGTGTGGTTTACTCTAAAAGATATACGTTTTCCGTGTCGTGGCGAGGGCGAAAAGTGCTAAACAAACGTAATGCATCAGGTAGGCACGCACTTCCCTACATTTTCCTACGGAAATAAGCCCATCTTCATGGACATAGCGCGTCGCGTGCAAAGTGCTATCTCAACATTAAAAGCAAAGCACGATTTACTCTGGGCCCGGGCTCCGGACGCCATTTTTTACGATTCAAACAAGAATGGACGGTAAGTGGGAAACCTTACAGTTCTGTTTTATATTGTCAATGGCAACTTGTGTGCAGCTAACTTTGGATACTATTTCGCGTCCAACACCTTGAGGCAGGACTTTATTAGTAATATAACATTTAGGAATTATACTAATATACTTTTAGTAATGGAGACTAGAAATATCTTTAGAAATAAATATAATAACTACTAAGTCACGCCCTTCTCTCATTAGTGTGGACAGACATTATGTTTGGCTACCTAAATCCAAAATAGATATATCCTATAATGTTAACCTCTATACAGTCCTTCTTTCAAACAACCATGACAAATCCAAAATTCATCAAGACGTGCGACTTGAGGAATTTTGATCCCGATAATAAAAACTAATGACGCAGACAAGATTTGTATTCCATTTTCGTGCATTAAAAAATAATACAACACCTAATTCCACTAAAATTATCGAGACATAACTCTATGCTAAATTTCGAATTTAAAATATTTCCTTTTAATTATCTTCAATATCAGTCAAGGACCTTAGCGAATATTGAAGGCAGTATAATGACATTCGACAACAAAGGATGGTACTCGTATCCTTGTGAGAATACTAGAACTAGCAATAGCTATAACATTACCCATAGACATTATACTACCACAATCTTTAATAATATTAAAAAGGTTACAGTTGAAAGGATAAGAATTATAGGTATGATGTGGCAGTAAAATTAGCTGCTGGATATTGTATCACAAGAAACTATAAAATTTCATCCCAACAATCTGGACGAGTGGCGGTCCTCCACCGTGCGTTTT